AGGGCTTTGGGATTAGGGTTCAGGGGTTTAGGGTTTAGGGTTTAGGGTTTAGGGTTTAGGGTGCCTAAACCCCAAAACCCCTAAACCCTAAACCCTAAACCCCTAAATCCCTAAACCCTAAACCCTAAACCCCTAAAACCCTAAACCCAATCCGGAACCACGCCTCCCCACAAGTTCACTCCCAAACCCGAACTCCAAGCCCCGCGGCTGAAATACTGAAGCCACAAACCAAGCCCCTAGGAGCAAGCCCGAGCACCACCCGGCTCACCCAACCCGTTTAGAGTTTAGGGTTTAGGGTTTAGGGTAACGCAAACTGAGATTCCAAAACCCCAAACCCCAAACCCTAAACCCTAAACTCAGATTCCAAAACCCAAACCCTAAACCCTAAACTCAGGTTCCAAAACCCAAACCCTAAACCCTAAACTCAACCCCAAGCCCGGAGCTCTAGACGGATCTTCTTTCGTGGTTCGGGCCCAAGTGTAGGATAAAGAGTTTAAGGGGGGGTTTGTTCAGAAAGGCTCCCAAACCCTAAACCCTAAACCCCTCAAGCCCTGAACTACCTACGGAAAGTCCAGCCAAATCGTAAACCCTAAACCCTCAGATGAGCTTCTTTGGCGACCTCATTGAGACACCAGAGACTCTCAAAGAGGAAGAAGCAAAGTATCGGACCGACCACATAGGAGCCCGTAAACACCTCGGCTTTTGGAGTAGTCTGCAGCTTCAAATCCATCAGTGGGTGTGAAATTCATGTCGAGCCCCGTGCAAAGACCTGCATCTTGGGATCCGTAATGTTGGGGCCTTAATAATTAGAAGAGGGTTTTGGGGCCCATTCTACTATAAGTATACCACGGAACCCCCAAAAAATAGTGTTGGTAATTATTTAAACCCTAAACCCTAAACCCTAAACCCTAAACCCCTAAACCCAAAACCCTAAATCCTAAACCCTAGATTATTGGGAGTGAAGTCTAGGAACCCAGGATCTGCCGGGCCCTGCGACACGTGCAGGGATCTTCGGCTCCTGAACCTCTACCCGTACTTGGAGGATCATGGGACTTAGTAAGTAAGGTTATAAGTCCCCGGTTTAGGGTTTAGGGTTTAGGGTTTAGGGTTTTGGGGTTATAAGTATAGTGACCTTAGTTATAACCCTACCTACTAAGTCCCGTGATCCTTTAAGTACCAACCCAGACCGGCCCAGAACAAAGGCCTCAGCCCTACATAGGAGCCTTCATCGCTTTGGGGGCAGTATGATAAGCTTGTAGTGGGATTCTAAGGGGACTCTGTGGCTAGCATCTTCCCGTCCAGGGAGGTGGCATGCAGTCATTGTTCAGCATGCGTTCTACGATCTTCGATTCGCGGAAGCTTGTCCAGAAAATCTGCAAACCCAGGGACCCGGATCCGCATTGATCTGGGAGCGGTCAACCCGACAGGCATCGCAACCCCAAACTCATAACATCTAGCCCAAAGCCATCTCAAACTCTACATGTCCACGTCTTTGCAAAGACCGAAGAGCGATGACGTAGATGGGGATCCTTGGATTTCGGACGTAGAGGCTTCGCTCGCTGGCTCCGTTCTGTTCTCGAAAACATCACGAGGCGAACCTAAACCCTAAACCCTAAACTGGAAGGAATGTATAACGTATTTGTTATGGTCTAAGTAATGGACTAGGAAGTCTCGGGTTCAGGGGTTTGACGGTTCACAGTGTAATGTAGGGGCCTTAATAATTAGAAAAGAGTTTGGGGCCCTTTTGTAGTATTGTTATATACAGGAACCCTCAGAATAAGATTGATAACTATTCAGGCTTCTATAGTAGGCTTTAGGGTTCAGGGCCCAGCATGTGCACACAAGAGTGGTGCACGAAAGTGCAGGGGAGATTTGGAGGCCGAAAGCTGTTCTTCCTACCAGCACAAAGAGGCCTCTTGAGCTTGAGGGTTTAGGGTTTAGGGTTTAGGGTTTAGGGTTTAGGGTTTACCCCAAAATATCCTGAGCGCTACAACCCTGAACCCTTGCAGTCCTAAACACCAAAACGCACTGGAAAAAACGCTATATAGCCCTGACCCTCAACTCCCCCTTAGCTAACTCCGAAATCCCCAATGCCGCCCTAAAACCCTAAAACCCTATATAAATGGCCAACGCCGCCCTAAAACCCTAAACCCCTACATAAATGGCACCCGTCCCCGCTTCATCTGCGAGGATCAGCAAGGAAAAGGCCATCAGCAACAAACCGAGAAGTTGAGCGAACGGCCTCGGCCCGGTGTAAACGGTTTAGGGTTTTGGGGGTTTGAGGTTTAGGGTTTAGGGCTTTGGGGGTTTGGGGTTTAGGGTTAAGGGGTTTAGGGGGGTTGGGGTTTAGGGTGTGGTTGTGTGCTTAAGTGCAGTGAAGGGTAAAGGGTTTGGGGTGTAGGGTTCAGAGTGGGTGTAGCATGATGGGGCTGAGATTGTAGAGTTCAGTGTTTCGGGGAAGCAACAGCCGGATACTCCCGAACAACAAGCTTCTCACCTCCGAACAAGGCCGATACCAACCTCAAAAGACAGACACACCGAAACCCCAAAGCTGTAAAGCCAGGAACTTCTGCACTTATGAATCTGGGTGGTTCTCTAAAGCAGGGTCCCCTTGTTAAGCCCCCCAAACTATTTTATAAGGACCGTAACTAAAAGGGACCCAACTTTAGAGAACCACCCACTTATGAATCTACGCCCGGGGAGATGACAGCTCGAGGCGTGACACCTCGGTCTTGCCTGAAACCGTCTCAGTATCTAGCAGTCTAGGGTTTTGGGTTTAGGGTTAAGCGTTCAGGGTTTACGGTTTAGGGCTTAGGCTTTGAATTCTGGAGCCGGGCCTTAATAACCAGAATAGGGTTTTGGGGCTCCTTTAAAAGGGTTCCTTAAAAGGGTTCTATGAGGCTACTATAAGGGTTTAAGGTTTAGGGGCCTTAATAATGAGAAGAGGGTTTTGGGGCCCCTTATACTATATTTATAATAAGAACGCCCCTAAAATAGTGTTGGTAATTATTTAGGCCTCTATATTAAACAAGGGGGCTCGAAGGGTTCGGCATCTTGTGGTGTCGCGGACGATGATTAGGGCATAGGTACTTCGGGCTTCAGGACACGGAAAAGTCTGGCCGAAGCGGGGCTGTCTTCAAGGATCCAGGAACAGGGACACCAGCAATCCCGTTGGTTTTGTAGGACAAGGGTTGCAGTGTTGAAGCTCGCAGTCCCCACGATCACGGAGTAAGGGATCAGTCTACAGCTCACAAGCCATCTGCAGCACTTGAGACCCAGGACCACCGTGCTAAGAAAAGATGCGGCAGAGATACAAAGGGAAAGGGACGTCCGCAATCTTCAGGCAGTTGTTGAAGCCTTTGTTGCTTCTTCAGGGCACTCAAAGGTTGAAGCCCCAGATCCAGAGGACCTGCAGGGATTACCGGGATTGTGGTAGGTGGGCCTACAACTGGGTAGGGGTTGAATTGGGTGTTTAGGCTGTTTAAGGGTTAGGGCCTTTAGAGTATAATGCATCATGACCACAGTGTATGTCGCAGAGATGCCATGCTGATAATCATCATGCCGGGGATTCCTACACATATTGATGTACAGCTACTCTAGCTGTAACATGCTGTAACCACATTGTTGATGTGGTTAGTATGGCTGGTTGGAATGAAACAAGCCCAATATTGTTCCTGTCGCATCGGCCAGGAACCGAGCATGCCATTGGAGAGTTCCTGGTACATGCGCGACTGGATGGGGGGAGCGATGTCGATGTCCTTGCAAGGGTTGGGCCTACTTCTTCAGCGCAACACAGATCTTCCGTTCAGTGAGGGTTTCGGTTTTCTTTCGGGTGTCCGGGATGCTGGGGGTGTTCGGGTTTCGGGCCCAGGGTCTAGCAACCGGGCATCGGTTTACGGTCTCACAAAGCAATAAGCACTCGTCCTCCCACGCCTTCCTCGAAGGGTTTAGGGTTCCGGGTTTAGCATGCTGTCCCCTGACCCCAACCCAATCCCTCTGAACCCCGAGTCAACCACCTGCGCAATGGTCTTCCCACTGTTGCTTCCAGTCTTGTCCTAGTGTCCACCCTGGCTGTTTGCCCCTCCATGCTCTCCAGTCCTTCATTGCATCCGCCAAATCCCAAATGATCCAGTACATCACGGTTGACACCGTGTCATTGGACTTGTGTAGCAGCTGCAACTGCTCCTGCGCTGGATTTGTATGGGTTGGGAGTGCCAGGACAATGTACCCCAAATGCGAACATGCTCTGGCTAGGCACCGGACTTCGCACAGGCAGCGAGAGACTTCTGGGTTGGTTTTTTAAGAATCGGGTGTCTGCGTCTGAGGCTCAGCGATTCTAGCGTGGAGTGTCGTTTTTCTACGTTTGACAGTTGTCTTGTTTACATGGTTTTTGCCGCTTGTTCACCATTCATCGCAGTGCACGCCCTCTAGAATCCCACAGCCCTAAACATCTCTCACACCCTAAAACCCCTAAACCCCAAACCCTGGCAAGACCGTATTTCGACCCCTCTTCCTACGTTAGGTTTGCGGCGACTGGAGTCCGGCAAAGCAACCGTACCCATAGGCTCCGTTGTAGTTCCTTTTTGTGGTTCATATTCATAGGATCGTATAAGGTATAAGGTGATCCCAACAAAGGGACTACAGTGGAGCCTATAGGTAGGGCCGGGTTGAGTATTTTCAGAAACTTACCGTGATCACGCAGTGGAACAGACAAGTGGATCGAAAGCACCCATGTATGCGAGTTGACCAAGGTAGGAGTACGGGGATACAAAACAGGATCCTTCCAAATTTGGGCCTCGAGTTTGCTAATGCCCTAAGTCGAACTCCCGAAAGCCGCAAACAGCATCTTAGTGACCTGTATGCTCAAAGCCTGTTCGACCTAGGACCTAGGCTTCAGGGTTCTGTGCTTCAGACAGATACCCAGAACATCCGCGTCGGCTGGACTACCTTCCCACCGTGTGTGAGTCGGAACTTGAGACATCGCTAAACCTTCAGCACAGAAACTCTTCACGAAAGCACCGTGTTGCAATCCAGGTTGTTTTTGTGTGTCTGTGTGTCTGCGTCTGCGCGTGCCTGCGTGCGGCTGTGTGTGTGTCTGTGTCTCTTCTGCCTCTGTGTCCCTCAATGCCTCTCTCTTTCTGTCTCCTCGAAAAAGCCATATCAACATCCCTATGCATCCAGTACTTGCAGAACAGACCAGCATCCCGAAAGCACCGGCCTTCGAGGGCGTCTCAAAGACGACATAGCCTCAGAGGGCATTTCCGGTTTGGGGTTTGGCGTTTTGGGCTTCGGGTGATATCGGGCTTTCTTTTGCGAGCCTGAGATTGATCGGACAATCAAGGGCCCTTGTTGGAGTGTGTGGCTTCGGGTTTCAGGGTTGGTGGTTTGGAGTGTGCCCGATTGAAGGCTGAAATGTCCCGGTGCAAGTAGTAGAAGCGCTCGAGTCAAGGCCCGACCCGCACACTAAGTTTCTTGAGGCCTATACGGCTGAGAGTTCACAGTTGAGGGTTTACAGCTAGGGGCTTGGAGTGCAAAACCCTTTTGACAAGCTTTACGACACGTAGATCTTGAACAACGCTTCATCTTCCTGGGAAACGATCCCTTTTCCCTGATGTCCTGATCGAATGGAATGAACGCGGCAATATTCTTTGAACCCAGGATCCCTGCTGCAAGAGCACCAACAGTGATTCAATCCGGACATGGGCCTTCGGTGCGTCCTGCAACAAACCCTCTACAGGTCATGAAACCAATGTCAAGCAAGGACCACAACTGCATGAGCTCAACTATTACACCCCATATCCTAAAGCCCAAGCCCTCAACTAAACTTCGGCATCTGCAACCAAAGAGCCAGCGTCTTCTAAGGAAGAGCGGTCGAACTCCTCAGCACCCGATTGAGACAAGGGTCTTGCAATCATTAGAGGTTTGCAGGGTGCAGGGTTCAGGATTTCAAGCAGCAAGGTATGTCCAGAAGTGGCGATGGGGAAAGTCGCAGACCTGGTCATACAGCATAATTCACTGCCTGCAACAGCACGGAAACAGAAAAGGAGCTGTCAGTGCCTGCATGGTGCCTGAAGGCATCGGAAGAAGCTCAGGCAAAATCAGAAAGATGTCCGGGGGCGGGTCCGAAAGAAACACAACAGCAGACTACTACTACTACTACTACTACTACTACTACTACACCTACTAGGCCCCACATCTTGAAACCCTTAGCCCAAAATCCATACTAAGCCCCGAGACCCTATCCAGTAAGATATAGATGCCCCGAACCATCGCCCCAACCCATCTCAAGCAAAGATGCCTACCTGAACAATCCTGGGATTAAACGTCAACTCACCATCAGGGTTCTAACTAATTCTCAACACTGTACCACCCCCCCCCCCGGCCCCACCCCTCCAACAAAAACGCCAATAGTTCTCCAATGAAGCCACCTGCCGCGGGATCATGGTCGGCGCTTGGAAGCCCGCTGCCTCCTTCGCTATCCTGCGAGCTCAGGATCCCGTGCTTCAGACTCGCACCGTGATGTGGGGAGTGGAAGTACTACTCCTTCGCTGATAAGAGGTGCGAAGGAATCCCTCAACCCTAAACCCTAAACAAACCCTAAACCCCTAAACCCCTAAACCCTAAACCCTAAACAAACCCTAACTAAACCCTAAACCCTAAACAAACCCTAAACCCTATAAACCCCCAAACCCCTAAACCCTAAACAAACCCTAAACCCCCAAACCCCTAAACCCTAAACAAACCCTAAACCCCCAAACCCCTAAACCCTAAACAAACCCTGATCCGGGTTGATTTGGGCTCAGTCGCGGGCTCAATCCCCTGAGCCCTGGACTCCTACAGAACAGGGTCACTAATGTAGGGACCTTAATAATTCGAATAGGGTTTTGGGATTAGAATAGGGTTTTGGGACCCATTATTTAAAAAAATATAGTATACTTATAGTAAGGAACCCCAAAATAGTAGCAGTAATGATTTAGGTCCCTATATTAACCATTTGTCGTAGTAGCTGTCGGTGCTTCTTTCAAGAAAGCTGGTGGGACCGGGAGGTATAGAGAGGTTCCGGCATTCTTGGCTTTTGCAGTGGCTGCCCTGCTTCGGGCTGGGGTGTGCTCAAGCCGCCCGCATCGGGAGTTGCTTCCGATACCAGTTGACAACTTTGGGCTTCAGGCTTGGGGGGGGGGGGGGGGG